AGATCAATGTCGAACCCTCTGCAAGCAGCAATCGGGCGGGGTCTGTGACTCGATCCACGGCCAGATGCACAATGGCAGTCCTGGGGCTTGCTCAAACATTCACTCAACGAGCAAAACACAAGGTTTAATCAGAGACACACTCTCGCCAGAGCCCTCCATGAAGCAACCAGGTCGTCTTCCGGAGATGAGCTTGCTGCTATGTTCAAGAAGATGTACCTGCCCCTGAAGCACGGAGACGAAAAGGTTTCGTTTCCCGAGTACCTTGGTCCAGCCCGTCCGGAGTCGCACGAAGACTTCACCGAGGCGGAAGTCAGGCAAGCCATTTTCGCACTCAATGGCAAGCCCGCTCCAGTCCCCGATGGCATCACCAATAAGAAGCTGCGGAATCTTGACGGTGGTTCAATCGAACACCTCATAGAGAAGATCAACGAAACGTGGAGAAACAGCAGCGTCGCGGAAAAATGGATGACCGCCACTACCGTCCTGATCCTCAAACCAGGCAAAACTCCGAACATTGATAACCTCTGACTCATCTCTTTGACGTCCTGCGTAGAGAAAGTGGCGGAGCACGTCGTCCTCAACCGACTAGGCCGATATCTGGAAGACAACAACGTCTCCACTCACAATATGATTAGCTTCCGAGCTGGCTTGTCGACGCAGACCGCCATGAAGATGATCAAGCATCAATTGACGTCAGAACCAGGAACACCAGGGTCTTGCTCGAACTCAACCTCGCGAAGGTGTTTGACGATGCTCTCTACTCATACATCCTGGCTTTTGTCGCAGACCTTGAATTGGGCCCCAAACTGCATAACTACGTCCGTTTGTTCTTGACCAGGAGGAACGTGATTCTGCGGATTGGTGGTTATGTCTCTGACGGGGTGCTTCTGCACCCACGGGGTACACCGCAACACTCTGTCATTTCACCCACACTATTCAACATCTGCATGGTCAGCGTTTCGACGAAACTAGCCTACGTCGAAGGTATCAACCACACCATTTACGCCGACGACATCACAATCTAGTGCACCGGCAGTAGTGAATGACAAGTCGAAAATGTCATGCAAGAAGCCGTAGACGTAACAGAACATTACCTGCTACCTTCAGGACTCATGTGCTTCCCGACTAAGCCTGAACTCCTGCTTTACAAGAAATAAAAAGGGGGAAGACCCAAGTGTTGGAAGCCGGTGTCTGAAAGTGACATTCACCTGTTCAATCGGAGTGGCAACCCAATACCCAGGGTCGACACCATCAGAGTCCTGGTTATGTGTATCGAATCACGTGGTGGCAATGGCAGTGCGTTGCGCAAGATCACTGCAAAGACCGACAACGCTTTTCACCTCATTCGAAGAGTCACGAACAGATGTCGGGGCCTCAAGGAGAAACCCCTGCTTCAGCTCATCAACGCCTTTGTGCTGTGTAACTTTTCTTACACAGTGGTCATGCACAGCTGTCTCAGAGCATAGCGTGACAATCCTAATGCCCTCACAAGAGAAATCATTAAAAGAACCCTCGGGCTGCCCGTCAGAACGCATACCAAGGACCTCCTTCGGCTCGGCATACACAACACAATGGAGGAGATAGCCGAGGCTGAGGAACGGGCCCAGCTAGCTCGGCTCTCTACCACGCTGGCTGGAAGGCGGATTCTAGAAAAACTTGGACTTGCCCCTTCCAAGAATTCGGCTAGCAACACAGAATTACCCAGACTAATAAGGGCGAAGTTTGTCGTTGCTCCACTGCCCCGCAATGTCCATTGAGTGCACAACGCAGGTCATCGCAAGGCAAGAGTGGTGACGATCAGCCAATTCCCAAGAACAAGATCGAGGCAAGCTTCGTAAATGCAGCCGAGTACCGAAATGACAAGGTTTTTGCGGTTTCCATTGAGGACACGCAGGGCAAGATAATCAACTGTGTTTTGATTCGAACGACCAGCCCCGAGGTAGCCGAGCAAGTGGCTTTTGTATTAGCCACGCAAGACGGTCGGAGAGACAGCGTGTATAGCTTGTAGGTGCCAGAAACAGTGCGATCGCCACACACAGCGTCTTCTGGTTCATTGCTTACGTCGGCGCAATTGAGGGGCTCCCTCTGAACCTTACCGAGTCTGCACAAGAGGCTGCGCTTGGTTTTGCGGACCGCGCTGCCCTAGGATCGGGTGACTTACATTTTGGACATAGGGACGCTTCTAGCACGCACAATGAAATAACGAAATTCTTTTATTTAGAGAAAAGGCTATTCCCGCCACCTCACGCTTGCTAAACAGACCGCAGGCGGTCGCACTCAGACTCCTGCAGAGCAACTCTTACCGTAATTCTGCGTTCCTATATCTATCTCTCAATTTACACGAATATATCTTGCGCAGCTTGTGGCGAGGTTGCTACTTCGCCTCACGTGCTCTGGAAGTGTGGGTCATTCGACCCGACGTTCATCAAGGAAATGTGGGACACGCTCCTGCGAAGTCCCATCTTTGAAGACCAAATCCTGGCCGCCCAGCGTGCCCATGATCAAACCGAAAGGCTAGACCTGTCGGTTTTCTTGTCAGATCGGCCAGGTGCGCCTTTTGTCGTGTTTTGCCGGACCGAATAAAAGTTCATTCACTCCCTCATTCACGTCTACTTGCCCTTATCTCGCGGTGGGGAGAATCATATGCCTTGAGCTTTCACCGGAACAATTCTGTCGTAGTTACCGGGTGCACAAAGGTCACTTCACTATTCGCAGTCTCCATTTGTGAAAAGGACGCACTTCAGACACAGTGAAGTAACAACTCAGATCCGCGTGATTATGTACCTGTGAGTTCGTTTCATGCGTCAACTGTTCGTGAGAAACGCGGGGTAAGTTTTGATCTACTTGCCATTCCTCACGTGACCGTCGACTTTGTTGCTATCGCGTTCACTGCTTAGCCTTTGCGGCAAAACTGCAGCTTTTTCGGTCTTTTTCCCCTATGACGTATCATTATTCTCACAAGAAGAAGAAGAAGAAATGGCTTTATCGATTCGCAAAAAGATAATACACAGCAGAAATATTATACAGGAAGAGCATAGTCCGTGCACTTTTCCTTTAGGTGGTCTTTAGGCGGAAAAAAGCAGTATAGCGTAGAAGATGGCTTCCGCGTCACTTTTATTTCCTTCCTCGAGAGAACGAGCGCCAGTGCTTCACCGGTGCCTTGAATGGAGACGCGGACACGCTTTGGAAGCGACGGGTAAGGGAGGCCGGGACTAGCAGCGCGCAACCTTCTCTACAAAGGCTTTTGAGTAGCCGTTGTTTAGAATGTCACATCTGATCTACCGTCCCTCATCTGTTCGTTTATCCTCCAAATAACAAACCCTCCGTACAGGGGTGAGCGTAGATGATACCACCACTGTGTTATGCAGCAAAAGTTGGTTGGAGCTGGCGTCATGGTAGCGGCTGGTGTCTAATGGCTTCCTGTACACCAAGAGTTGCAGCGAATCTCCCATCTTAGTCAAGAAGACATCAAGGAACGGGAAACAGTAGGTTTATCCCATTCCACGGTGGGCTGAATGGCCGGCTGGATAGAGTTCAGATGAGCTGTGAAGGCCTCTACGGCCACAGTTTTTACAACAAAAGCTGTTATGAGATCACCACAAGAGTTCCGTAGTCGTTTGCCACCAAGAGAGTCAGTAACCGATATCGCACAAAATAAAAAAATAAAATAAGGAGAGATACCCTGAATGAATTTGGGTTAGAGCCTGGGTCCTCTCTGTGCCAGAACTCAGTATTCTCCCACAGAGCCACATCGCTTTTTTTATTCATGGTACTCATAATGAAAGTGCTAGTGTACATCATAGCGAACAAATACTCAAGTTCGCTTTTACAAGCACGCATTAAGTACTCCACAGAGTGAAGTTTAAAGTAGAGGTTTCTTCTAAAAGGCACGAAAATATTGCGCACAGGAACACTGTACAAGCGCTATGCTGGAAAAGGGCCGCATTAACATACGCAGTAAAACGCGTTTGAAAAGTAAAATAGCAGCCTGGCATCACGGAACGCGACTTGTGTAATAATGTCTCGCACACCATGAATTGCGTTATGAGTGGGTCGTTGACTGCCTTCAACCAATTTAAAAGGGCTCCTCTATGATTTTATTTGTCACCAGCCACTGAATCAGTTAATAGAGCAGTTGGTGCCTTGCAAACGTACTTGCTTCAATAACCCTAAGAGAGTTTGCAATGGGTTCTAGATACTCTTCCAGCTTTCACAGCAACTTCGCTGCGCATTTCGTGCAGGCCTGAAGTTTTTGGCATACAGAAAGAGTCGTTCACATACCGCAATAATATCTTCAGAAGGCTGCCTGTCGACTGCTTCCTTCCACCACGTCTATTAAGAGGTTCACTGTTTATACAGACACAGCAGGCGTGCTCGTGTGTGTGTGTTACAGGGGACTACAGCATGTCGGTCAGAACAAGTGTAACCCCCCAGCTTGTGAAGGTGTTATAAACTCTGTTGCTGAGTCATGCTACACAGTCACTCCAGAAAAAGCGTCCAATTAGGATGGTAAAAACGCGAGCATTTCTGCTTTTAAAGTAAATTTAATTTAATGGAGCTATTGAGTACATCAATTTATGACCCTTTCCAAATTCTTTTGCTTGGCAACCGATCTGTGAAGTGTCCAGCCTTTCATCATGGTGGTTTTTCGGCTTCGGTACAGTTTTGAATATGTTAAGTTTGAAAGTTTCGAAGTAGGAAACACCCTCTCCCGCTTTTACTCACTTGCTGGTGTAACCATATATTTCAAGCATAGTCGTCCCTTAAGTATAAAAGTTCGCGTTCTCATGAGCCAACTGATTTATTTTGCTTAAACTTGTAGTCTACATAGCGTGACATGAATGCAGTGAAAAATTGCGACCGAGAATGCAAGGAAATATGCAGAAATGGGACACAATCTGCATTTGTGTCAAACCACGTATACTCGTCCAATTTAAGATCCTATTAGGACACCACTTATAAATACTGGTGTACTTTACAGAAGCATTGTTAATACGTACGTGAACTTGCATGAGATCCATGAATCGTCTTGCGTGTGAATCATAGGAGACTGTATCTAATTTCTCTTCTATGCTCACTGCGAGGTGGTGCTGCAGCTGTAGGGAAGCAAGAATTCAAGGTATTAAAAGACATAGAAATTCATTTAGTCAAACAAGCCTCACACAATAAAGTCTTAAATGTTAAATTTATTTTCTTACTTAGTCGTAGTAAGCCCTAAAAGTATAAAGTAGCCAGAAGCTGGAAGACAGCTAGGTAAGCAATAAGCCAACCAATGCACTAGACACATTTAACTATTCGTGCACCACCATTGATGTGATAATCCAAAAATTATTTACTGTGTAAGGACCAGCTATTTCACACTTCCCATGTTACGTTATCTAAAGTTAGCATGCACGCAGCAAGGGGTGTCTTACGACGAAGCGTAGTTTGATAACGCATGAATAATTTTTAAATACCATGGCTATTTTTATACAGGCTACAAGAATCGTGCTGCGCCGAAAAAAGTCTGCACTGTAATTTAGCGTGTTTGAAAAGTATCTTAACATATCCCAAACTGCTTATGAGCCATTCTTACGGAGCATTTGTGTTCCGTATACTCAGGTTGCGTTGCCATGGCTAGTTCGCACGCCGCATAAAAAAAAACTTGTGTAAGAGATGGAAGCAGGCTGTGTAGTTCATGTTTTAGTGATGTTTAACGGTCTTCTAGCAAATGATTTCAAAACGTCTGTATTTTATGTTTTGATAGGATTTAACATGCCACGAAGCATTGAAATTATGCATGACACTCAAGAATCCACATGTAGAATCTTACGCGTGGTGACGAATAAAAAATATGACTAGAAACTTTTCAATGGAAGCTGCGAACGTGGCGATGTGAGAGGAACGATTCCTTATTGGCCTTGCCACAATTTATTACTAAGACAGAGCAGACTACAAAGCCGACATAGATGATTGGCGTTTTCTGTAATTTTTATAGGTAGATTCAGGAAAGAAGACTAAGAAAACAGCCGAAAGGGTGGAGACAAATGGTTCAATCAAAAAACGTACGACAAAGCCGGTTGTTGTGGTTTTTTCAGCCTTTACTGGTGCATGAAAAGTGAAATATAAAGTTTTCCTTGTTTACTTTTCTGTCCCAGGTTTAAATTACCAGTGAATCACATCTTGTATACTCGCACACAATGGGCGGTATGCTGTTATATCACATGTCACTGCGAAAATGGCTTCACAATGTACGCGCAGGTATGGTACGTTAATTTTGTCATGACTACGAAATCACACTTGCCATGAACTTATGTGCTCCTCGGCCTACATTTTTATACACCAAGGTAAGGTGTCAGTGAAAATAGCGCCCATACATTGGCAGCTAGAGAGATAGATAGAAGCGCTCGAGGTGCTTTTGCTTCACTGTGTTAACTCAAGTTATACGTGCGCCCACAACGGGAGCGAGAAACCGGCCACAACCTTAAAAATCAAGGAAGGGGGCTAGTCTTCATACCTTTACTCAGACACACCTGTCCCATCCTTCGAAATGGGTTTCTGGAGTTAAAGGAGGACGAGAAAATCTGCCTATGATACTGCTTTTAAGAATTGCGTATTTACTTTCCATCTTTAACCAGGAAAATCAGGGTACCAGTGGCAGGATGCTGGGAAATTTATGTATTGTATTCAATTATGTTTAGGTGGTCACTGCGAAGCTAATTTTGATTGGATTCGACGATACCATATCGGAGGAGAGGAGTTTCGATAAAACTTAGCCCCTCTAAACGGAGAACCCTACACATGCTTAGGCCTCCAGTTACACTCATCCCTCTTTCCGCATGTCACTGCAGTATGTGACAACCATCAACATGTGGGTAAAAGGCTCAATAAGAATAGGGCTAGGCGCTCGCGACAAGCTTTGGGCTACCTGAAATTCTCACAAAGCCTTTTTTTGTTTAGTTTCGATTCTACAATTACGTCACATAAACGTCTTTTTGATACTGAACTCAATTTATTACCTGGTCTCCGTCGGCCACCTTCCAGACCAACCCGGCGACAGCGCACTCCATGATCAAAAGTACGAACATAGCGATGAAGTACTGGAAATTGTAGAAAAGTCATTACAAAGGGTCAGAAGTTTTACGAAAATAGCTGTAATCTACAGATGTGTTGGCTATTGTAGTTGTGTTTACTTTTCGTATTGCCATTGATCTGAGAAGGTACTAATCATAACCCGACACGATTGCGAGTAATAAAGTGTGAAATGAGGTAAAGTCAAAACGTAGTTAAGTAACTTACACTAGAGGCCCACACGAAGAATCGTCATATCCCTGGATACATTTCATATAAATGGAAACATTATTGGAATTTTATTTCTCAGCTTGAAGACGCACGCCTCCATGTATCCACGTTGAACAGTTTTAAACTCAACAACATTTTAAGTGCTGAACAGAATAGACACCTCGGAAAGCATGTTGTTAGTTTCGTTGTCTTATAGATTTAGTAGACACATGTAAGCTTCGCAATTAAGAAAACACATTAGAAACTTAGAACTAGCATGAAACTCGGACTTCAAAATGTGCTAACTTTTAAAATATGGCATTTATAAGAGTTTTCAGCGAACAACTGCAACATTATATTGATACGCAACAGCCGGCACAGCCTGTCTGGAAGAAAGAGAAAGACGACGTTGGTGGCTGGTTGTTGATGAACTGTCGCCATCTTGTTCGCCGAGCACAGTGCATCGTATTTAATTTAATAAATATGTTACCCGTAACAATATTGGTGGAGGTGGACGACTCCCGTACCTCGATGGAGACGCGCAGCGGTCGCAACACCGGGGACTCTTCGGCTACTTCAACTGTCAGTGCCTCATCCCCACCGGTCTCTCGATCCGAGTCGACAACCTACGTCACGCTGCCACCCCTGCGGGATCCTGGAACTTTCTCCGCTGACGGCACCATCGACGTTGACTCCTGGCTGCACCGGTACGAGCGAGTCAGTGCTACCCACCGCTGGGATCCCACGCTCATGCTCGCCAATGTTGTGTTCTACCTCGACGGCACGCCGCGGACATGGTTCGAAACCAACGAAGTAGAAATCACAAGCTGAGATTTTTTCAAATCGAAGATCCGTGATCTTTTCGGCGATTCATCTGGTCGTCAGCTCACTGCCAAGAAGACTCTCGCCATTCGCGCCCAGACGTCTACTGAATCGTACGTCTCATACATTCTTGACGTCTTGGCGCTTTGTAGCAAGGTTGATCAGCGCATGTCAGAAGAAGAAAAAGTTAACCATGTCCTCAAAGGGATTGCTGACGATGCCTTCAACTTGCTGGTTTTTAATAATGTCACGACCATCGACACGATCCTGACAGAATGCCGCCGTCTAGAACAGGCTAAAGCCCGCCGCGTCACCCACGGCATCACGCGCCTGCCGAACACAGCTGCTACTTCCTCTTGTGATGACTCCGTCTGCCCAGTTCCCCGATGTGACAACCTCACCCGCATCATTCATCGTGAGGTCGAGGCAGTCCAACCAGTAGCTACTCCATTTCCAATGCCTGATCCTTCACCGACCACTATCTCACTGATACAAGCCGTCGTTCGTCAGGAATTATCGAACGTCGGCCTACACCCCATTCAACCAGTCTACTCTGCCGAGCCTTTTTCTCGTCGTCCATCCGCTCCTCGATATGGTTCGAACTACTCTCGACAGCGCAATTTGTCTGAATGGCGTACACTGGACGACAAGCCCATATGCTTCAACTGCCGACGTGTCGGCCATATTGCTCGCCACTGCCGCAATCACTGGGCTCCGCCGGCACGCTATGGGCCTCCTACCCAAGCCACTTCTGGCCACCAGTCATCCTCAACATTTGATTTTGGTTCCCCTATGCCGACCACGTCCTCTGATTCTGCCGCACCTCTGACGATACCTCGCTACGCCCGCTCACCATCCCCTGCTCGCCGTCAATCTCGTTCGCCCCCACAACGCCGTCCTGCCTCTCCGACCTATTCGCAGCGCCCCCGACCGGAAAACTAGGCAGTGCAGCTTCTGGAGGTGAAGCTGCATTGACGAAGACCTCTGCAAGAAATCCTCGTGTAACATTACCGACCACCCGGAATCTGTTGAACGTTACTTTAGACAATGTACCTGTGCGCGCGTTGATCGATACCGGCGCGTATGTGTCCATTGTGAGTGCTGCTCTTCGTCGCCGCCTAAAGAAAGTTGTCACACCCGTCTTGAACCGAGCCGTTCGAGTCGCCGACGGGAGAACTGCCGCGATTATCGACATGTGCTCTGCCCGTGGGACTATCGCCGATAGAAGCACTACTGTTCTTTTCACCGTTATAGAAAACTGTCCTCATGAAGTAATTCTAGGCATGGATTTTCTCACCGCTCACTCGGCCCTTATAGATTGTTCAGCCGGCTGTCTTGACCTTGAAATGCCTCTACTTTCTGATCTGACCATCCCATCCCAAAGTCGCCTTTGCTGTATTGATTTCGCACGCCTTCCGCCTAACTGTGTCACACATATCGATCTCTTCTCTACACCACCTGTACCTGACGGCGATTACATGGTGGCACCAATTCATGCCGTGATGCTTACGCATAGCGTCGCTGTTCCGCACACCATTTTTACAATCGTTGAAAACCGCACATGCCATCCTACTGTCAATTTTGCCCTCACTGCCCAAATTCTTCCACAAGGTATCTCCCTGGCCGAAATTACTGCTCTACAAGACCATTCGGTTGAACCCTTCAGAGTAGATGATTGCTGCACCTCAGACAATGAACCAACTCTATCACGTTCATCGGGCGTCGACGTTGACCACATGGTACCATCAGACCTCGCTTCTGATCAAGCGGAAGCCCTTCATTACGTCCTGGAGTCCTATGGTGACATTTTCGACTTTGCCAGCACGGCTTTAAGGCGAACGAGTGTTGTTACTCATCGCATCAATACTGGTGACGCGAGTCCCATTCACCGACGTCCATACCATGTTTCCGCGTCCGAGCGCACAGTCATACAACAAGAAGTTGAAAAGATGCTTGCAAAAGACATAATCGAACCCTCTTGTAGCCCCTGCGCTTCTCCTGTCGTCCTGATCAGAAAGAAGGATGGAACATGGTGCTTTTGTGTAGATTATAGGCATCTCAACAAAATTACGAAGAAAGATGTTTATCCGTTGCCTAGAATCGACGATGCCTTAGACTGCCTTTACGGTGCTACGTATTTTTCCCCTATTGACCTTCGATCTGGCTATTGGCAGATCGCTGTGGATGAGATGGACCGTGAGAAGACCGCATTCGTCACTCCTGACGGGCTTTATCACTTCAAAGTTATGCCCTTTGGTCTCTGTAATGCGCCGGCCACATTCGAAAGAATGATGGACTCGTTGCTCCAAGGGTTTAAATGGTCAACCTGCTTATGTTATTTAGACGACGTTATCGTTTTCTCGCCCACATTCGACTCCCATCTCAAGCGTTTATCGGCGATTCTTGAAGTTTTTCGTCGAGCCGGACTTCAACTGAACTCGTCGAAATGCCACTTTGCTCGACGTCAAATAACCGTACTTGGCCACATCCTTGATGCCGCAGGAGTCCGCCCGGATCCCGCGAAAATTCGCGCCGTCACAGACTTTCCTGTTCTGAAGTCAACAAAGGACGTTCGCGGTTTTGTGGGCTTGTGCTCCTACTTTCGACGATTTCTTAAGGACTTCGCCATCATTGCACGTCCACTCACAAACCTCTTGAAGAAGGACACCCCGTTTTTCTGGGGCGCTGATCAAGCCTCATCTTTTTCCCAGCTCACGACGCTCCTTACAACACCGCCGATTTTAGCCCATTTTGATCCATCAGCTCCAACCGAGGTTCGCATTGACGCTAGTGGGCATGGCATCAGGGCAATACTAAAGCAACATCAACGCGGACATGACCGTGTTATAGCATATGCAAGCCGCCTGCTATCTACAGCCGAGCGCAACTATTCAATCACGGAACGTGAGTGTCTCGCTCTCGTGTGGGCAGTCGCCAAGTTTCGCCCATACTTATACGGGCGTCCATTCCGGGTAGTCACCGACCATCACGCGCTCTGCTGGCTGGCCTCACTCAAGGATCCCACAGGACGCCTCGCTCGTTGGTCCCTACAATTACAAGAATACACGTTCACCGTACCGTACAAAACAGGGCGGTCACACCAAGATGCTCATTGCTTATCACGCTACCCTGTGGAAGAGGCTGTCCATACTGACACCTTTCCAGACCATCTGTCTGTGATGCAGCTACTCAACCTTGGCCACGAACAACGCCTGGATGCTTCTCTGCGAACCATCATTGGCAAGCTTGAGTCAAGGCCTCGCGACGCTTCTCTACAAATGTTCCTGGTAAAAGACGGCATCCTGTATCGCCGTAACCTAGATCCATATGGCCATGACTTGCTCCCCGTCATACCAGCACATCTTCATGCGACTGTTCTCAACCAACTTCATGACGCTCCTTTGGCGGGCCACTTGGGCGTCTCTCGCACATACGACCGTGTACGTCGTCATTTCTTTTGGCCCGCTCTGTTCAACGCTACGTCGCCGCTTGTGAACCCTGCCAGCGCCGCAAAAAGCCATCTTCCCTACCAGCTGGATTCCTTCAGCCAATCGTCATTCCCATTGAACCTTTTTTTTGAGTTGGCCTCGACCTGCTTGGCCCATTCCCGATCTCCAGCTCAGGCAACAAATGGATCGCTGTCGCCACTGAGTATGCGACACGGTACGCTATCACACGAGCACTTCCGACGAGTTGCGCAACCGATGTGGCGGCATTTCTGGTATATATTATTTTAGTACACGGAGCTCCACGCCAGAGAGAGAGAGAGAGAGAAAACTTTATTTGCGCATAACGCGGAGCATTCCAAATGGTCGGGCCCCTATTCCAGGGCTCCGCTGGCCCTAGCCATCATCTCTTCCCGTTGGACCAGCCAGCGCTGATCAACAATGGCCGAGCTGGACAGCAGCGCCTCTCATTGTTCCTCTGTGTTGTTCATGTTGTGGTGTTCTTCATTGTGATGCGTACACTCCCACGTGATGTGAAACAGAGTTGGTGT